ATACGACTGAACCAAAGGGAGAGACCAAGAGCGATCGAGAACAGCCGCGATCAACGGAACTGGGAGGGACGCAAGTTGAACCGAAAGAGGAAGTTGACGATGACATGGACGATGGTGTCCGCTACCATGAAGGCGGAGAAATCTTCCCTGAAGACATCGAGAACGTGGCTGTCCTGCCGGAAGTGGAGCTACCACGAAGGAAGTTACCATCGACGACATACAAGTAGATGAACCACACGCGACACCGGAAGAACGTGAGCGACTGCGTCGTATCATCTGGAAGCGACGCCACTTGCTGATAGGAGCCGGTAACGCCTTACTACCAGCCGCCTTGGGAGCTATTTGCGACATCGATGTCGGAACAGTAAAGCCTGTAGCTCAGCGATGTCGACGAGTAGTGTCTCAATTCCGCGAGAAGCTGCCAATGCTCATCAAAGGACAGCTGTCGGCAAAGATCATCACTACCTCCATCTCACCTTGGGCGTCACCCATCGTAGTCATCATCAAGCCTAACGGAGTCGACATCCGCCTATGCATCGACTACCAGGTAGTGAACAGCCTTACGAGGCTGATGGTATACCCCATGCCGTTGATCAACGACCTCCTTTGGACAAGGCGCTCTGGTACTGTTCCCTCGATATGGCTAGTGGCTTCTGGGTGGTATCAATGACCCCGCGAGCGAGGCTGGTGTCAGCGTTCATCACACCGTTCGGGCTTTTCGAGTGGACGTGGATGCCCTTCAGGTTAAAGAACGCTCCTCAGATCTAACAACGAATCGTCGACAATGCATTTTACGGTCACATGCGCATCAAGCCCGATCAGGATAGGTCGAACCCCGTTGACGTCTTCGAGGAAGGAGACCCGGAGCCAGAGCCTAAGCCGTCGGTCCTCGGGCGGAGGTCGTATGTGGACGACATCCTTGTGACCGGCGACTCGTGGGATAGCATGTGCAACCGTGTCGACAAACTGCTCGACGTCAGCGGTCGGTGGAACTTGTCGATCAGCGTAGCCAAGAGCTACTGGGATCGACGAAAGGTAGCGTATCTAGGACACGAAGTATCCTCGGTTGGATTGGAAGCGAAACCGAAGGAGCTAGACGCATTCGCCAACCTTCCGTTCCCCACCAAGCTGGAGGCGATGCAGTCATTCCTCGGAGGTTTGAACTATTGCAGCCGCTTCATTGAGGACTTCGCAGTCTACGCTGCGATCTTGGACGAGCTGCGAGAAGCAGACTTTCACGAAATTGCCAAGCTGGACGCAGA